GTGCTCGTCCTAGGTCCTAGAGGTAGCCTCGACGCGTCAATGCTCGCTTGAAGTGCCTCATCACGCGGTACTGCAGGCTGATCACGTGCGGATTAGCTCCGGCCGCTTGCTGACTGATACGTTCCATCCGGCCATCGATTTACGTCCGCTGACTCGGTCGCTTTGACGGAAACGAAGGGGAGTGATGACTGGGGAGTGGTAATACCAATGACTCCCTGTGATGCGGGCCTCCGCCGTTCCCGGAGATAATTAGTCACAAAAGATATTCTTCCGGGTGACTTCGGAGCGTCTGGCTGCGGAGCTAAATCATTTCGGTGATCTGCGCCTGCCTTGAGGACGTTAGAAGGTCCGGAATTAAATCCAGAACCCTTCGTTGGTTACTTGTCGCGTAAGAGGTTCGACAGGTGGTGTCGAATAAACTTTGGAGGGGATGTATGGTGTGTCAAATTCGCAATTTCGGGGGTCAGAAGATCGCTGGGGCTTATCAACGGCGCGGTGATAAGCCTCAGGATCATCTGACCCCTGAAAACACAGACTCAGTGCATCGTACAAGCCCTCCGGAGCTTATTCAACACAGCGCTCACACGCCTCTAGGCTTCTATGGGCTCTAAAGAATTGCTCTATTTTAGCTCCGGACTTCCTAGCATCCTCAAGGCGTACACAGACCCATTCCATGATTTATCTCCGCGAACAGGAGCTCCGGAGCGACTTAACCAATGCGACTTCTAGATGAATTAGCTCCGGGGCCCGCAGACGCTTCTATCGAGGGGCATCGTCCTCATGCCCAACCTCCAACACTCACTCCCCCTTGTTTCCATCAAAATACCGAAGGTGCGGACGTATATGAGTCACCATGAGGTCAGCATCAGTCACCATGAGGTCAGCATCAGTCAGCGAGTGGCCGGAGGTAATTAGCGTGACTGGTGTGTCGCGCAGAGTCAGGGGACCACTTAGGGCAAGTGGCGGAGCGTCGAGGCGACCTCTAGGGGCTGGGACGAGCAAGTGGGAGTGCAAGAGAGTCGTATGGTGCATGGTATAATGGTGGCAAGTGCTGAGCAATCCTGTGGGTAGCGGCATTTATTTGTTATTTATCTCCGGATGGTCGCAAAGCCATTCCTGTAGTATAAATTGCACAAAGTAGCATACCAAAAAACAAGTTTTGCACTTCACGAGCTCAGAGAATTAGCGTTACGATCTCAGCGACCCTTGAAGTTCGAAAGCATTGAACTTAGCAAATTATAACCGATCCTAGCTTTGCCAATAGGCCTGACTCGTCGAGTGATTTATCTCTGCCATTGATTTAATTATCTCCGGTGCATCCTACATAGCAAAATAAAATTAACCCAGTCTCTCTAGCAATTTCCACCCCCACGAGCACGATCCTACGACAGGTGTCGTTGCTTGCGACCCTTGATTGCAACTTTTCAGAGATAAATACTCCGGAGTGTCAACTAGCGTTTCTTTCAGGTGTCAAAGTGTTTGTTTTATTTTTCTAGGTCTTCCTATGGAATACCCTACGTCGTCTTACTCCTCCTTCCCCCTTGAACTATTAAAATACCCCTCAGTTGTCTCGGACCGCCTCCACCCATACCGCTGGTGTTAGGTTTATTTGCTTTTGGTCCTTGGTGATTGTTGTGTGTCTGTGCATATCAGCGGGTACAGTGCGGGCTCGATCAGAGTACACTTACTTTGATGAGGACGACCGGAATGGTCAGCTCCTCTCCCATTGTATATTGATGCATGTATTGGTGGGAACAGAAGCGATGGCGGCTGCACCCTCGGCTTCCCATCAGAAAGATTCTTTGAAAGCATTTGCGAAGCGCATCAAGAAAGTTAAGTTGATTGTTTGTGACCCCAATCAGGAGGGAGGGGGACACCACTTGACGCAAATCCTCCAGATTGGTGTGGGAGCAGCGCTTATGCCATAGATCCAGGTCCAAAGGGAGTGTGCTGAGTGCAGAATGCGCAGAATGCGAAGCTGAGACAGTCCGACCTTCCAGGTAGCCTGTGTTGGCATCATTGACTCTGGCCTGGAACTTCAAGGCACCTTGGAGGTAGAACTTGGCATGGGCATCTTGGATTTCGCATAGAAAGCCCTTTTCACGAGTGAGGTGGAAGACTGATAGGAGATTGGAGCCAAGATCAGGGACATGGAGCACATCATGAAAGAGGACTGGATGGGACTCTTTGCCATCTATTACAGGGTGAAACTCGACTGAGCCTAAGCCAGCTGAATAGATAATCTGGTGGTTGGCTAAGCAAATGGGGATGCGATGAGGAGAGTAAGATTGGAACCAGTGACAATGTGAAGTCATATGTGCTGAAGCACCAGTGTCTGTGTTCCAGTGAGTGGCTGATGATGTCTGGAGCCATGCAGAACGCTCTGAAGACGAGAGCAATGCTGCAGCATGCCCAGCAAACTCTTCCTGCCCAGCAGGAGTTGAAAAGAGTGAGTCTTGATGAGATCTCATACCACAGTTCCTAGAGAATGTCTGCTTCCTGGTAAGATGCATTGAGAGGTCCTGCTTGTTGGCAGTGGAAGATACTAGCTTCAGACAACACCCAAGGGCTAGGTCAAACTGTGTCAAGACTGTGTTCTGGCATAAGGAATACAAGTGGCAGACTCACCTAGGTCAAACTGTGTCAAGACTGGGGACACAGAGCGACCTAGGGAGCCCTTATATACTGTAGAATACAAGGGCATCAAAGAACAAGGACAGAACAAGGGAACATCGAAATACAAAGAAGAACAAGGATAACAAGGAATACAAGGAATACAAAGGGAGTGGCTCACAACAAAGGGAGTGGCTCAGAACAAGGTAACTCAACCTAGAAGCGCCTAGGCCATTCCATGAGCCACTCAGTCAACAAAGAGTGACCAAGTCATCAGATCTCAACACTCCCCCCTGACTGGTCACTTCCCCAATCCAAGCATCTTCACCATTTCTAAGACCTTCGGCCTAGCCAGGGATTTAGTCAGGATATCCGCAGGCATGTCTGAAGTCCTCAGGTGGACCATCTTGAGTTTCCCCTTTGCCACTTCATCCCTAAGCCAGTAAAAGCGCAAATCCAAGTGCTTCATGCGGCCATGGTGCTCCGGGTTCTTCGCAACAGACAGAGCAGAGAGGTTGTCAATATAAAGTGTGGATGGGGAGGACATGTCATAACCAAATTCAGAGAGTAAATTTCGAAGCCAGAGCACTTCCTGTGCAGCAGAGACAGCACCCACATACTCAGCCTCAGTGGTAGAGAGCGCAACAATGCTCTGTAAGCGGCTGCTCCAGGAGATAGCACCAGTACCCATCTTGATCACAAAGCCAGTAGTGGACCTGCCATTGTCCAAGTTCCCTCCATGATCAGCATCGACATAGGAGGTAAATAGCTCAGAGCCAGAGGTGGGTGAATAAGTCAGCTTGTAGTCCAGTGTGCCCTTGATGTAGCGCAACAAGTGCTTGACTGCCTTCCAGTGTTGCATGCCTGGGTTCTTAGTGAAGCGAGCAAGGACTCCAACGCTCGTGGCAATGTCTGGATGTGTTGCAACTGCAAGGTAGAACAGAGAACCAACGGCATGATCATAGGGGATGTCCTTCATCTCCAACTCCTGCTCCCTGGTCTTGGGGCACATCTCAGAGGACAAGTTCATTCCAGGGTCCATAGGAGTGCTGACAGGATCACAGTCACTGAAGCCATAGCGCTGCAAGACATCCAGGGCATACTGGCGCTGTGAGATGCTAAGGGAGTGCTTTGATCTATCCCGCTCTATCTGTACACCCAGTAGCCATGTGGTAGGGCCTAAATCGCGAAGTTTGAAGTGGGACTTCAAGTCAGACTTGACCTGGGCAATGGTGTCCTTTGACTTGGCTGCAATGGTGATGTCATCCACAAAGACAGGAATGAACATCCTAACGTCGCCTTTCCTGTACACCCACACACTGCTCGCACACCAGCCTCTGGAAGCCCAACTTGACCAAGACCTCATTCCGCTTCTCATGCCAGCAACACCCAGCTTGCTTTAAGCCATAAAGCGACTTTTGCAGCCTCCAGACCCACTCAGGAGTCTTCTCTTCAAAGCCCTCAGGCTGGTGCATATAGACCTCCTCCTTGAGTTCCCCATTGAGGTAGGCACTAGAGATATCAATGCTCTTGAGTTCCAAGTCCTCTAGAGCTGCTAGAGCGAGGATAGTGCGAATAGATGCCCACTTTGGTGTAGGGGCAAAGGTTTCATTGTAGTCAAAGCCAGGGCGCTGTGAGAAGCCCTTGGCGACTAGACGGCCCTTGTAGCGCTC